GTGGTACTGACCTACTGCAGTGAGGTGTGGTACTGACCTACTGCAGTGAGGTGTGGTACTGACCTACTGCAGTGAGGTGTGGTACTGACCTACTGCAGTGAGGTGTGGTACTGACCTACTGCAGTGAGGTGTGGTACTGACCTACTGCAGTGAGGTGTGGTACTGACCTACTGCAGTGAGGTGTGGCACTGACCTACAGGAGTGACGTGTGGTACTGACCTACAGCAGTGACGTGTGGTACTGACCTACAGCAGTGACGTGTGGTACTGACCTACAGCAGTGACGTGTGGTACTGACCTACAGCAGTGACGTGTGGTACTGACCTACAGCAGTGAGGTGTGGTACTGACCTACTGCAGTGACGTGTGGTACTGACCTACAGCAGTGACGTGTGGTACTGACCTACAGCAGTGACGTGTGGTACTGACCTACAGCAGTGACGTGTGGTACTGACCTACAGCAGTGACGTGTGGCACTGACCTACAGCAGTGACGTGTGGCACTGACCTACACTAGTGACGTGTGGTACAGACCTACAGCAGTGACGTGTGGCACTGACCTACAGCATTGACGTGTGGCACTGACCTACAGCAGTGACGTGTGGCACTGACCTACAGCAGTAAGGTGTGGCGCTGACCTACAGCAGTGATGTGTGGCACTGACCTACAGCAGTGAGGTGTGGCACTGACCTACAGCAGTGGCGTGTGGCACTGACCTACAGCAGTGACGTGTGGCACTGACCTACAGCAGTGAGGTGTGGCACTGACCTACAGCAGTGATGTGTGGCACTGACCTACAGCATTGACGTGTGGCTCTGACCTACAGCAGTGACGTCTGGCACTGACCTACAGCAGTGATGTGTGGCACTGACCTACAGCAGTGGCGTGTGGCACTGACCTACAGCAGTGACGTTTGGCAGTTACCTACAAGAATGAGGTGTGGCACTGACCTACAGCAGTGAGGTGTGGCACTGACATACACCAGTGAGGTGTGGCACTGACCTACAGCAGTAAGGTGTGGCAGTGACATACAGCAGTGAGGTGTGGCACTGACCTACAGCAGTGATGTGTGGCACTGACCTACAGCATTGACGTGTGGCACTGACCTACAGCAGTGACGTGTGGCACTGACCTACAGCAGTGAGGTGTGGCACTGACCTACAGCAGTGATGTGTGGCACTGACCTACAGCACTGAGGTGTGGCACTGACGTACAGCAGTGGCGTGTGGCACTGACCTACAGCAGTGACGTTTGGCAGTTACCTACAAGAGTGAGGTGTAGCACTGACCTACAGCAGTGAGGTGTGGCACTGACATACAGCAGTGAGGTGTGGCACTGACCTACAACAGTGAGGTGTGGTACTGACCTACTGCAGTGAGGTGTGGCACTGACTTACAGCAGTGAGGTGTGGCACTGACCTACAACAGTGACGTGTGGCACTGACCTACAACAGTGACGTGTGGCACTGACCTCCAACAGTGAGGTGTGGTACTGCAACAGTGAGGTGTGGCACTGACCTACAACAGTGTGGTGTGGCACTGACTTACAGCAGTGAGGTGTGGCACTCACTTACAACAGTGAGGGTTGGTACTGACCTACAGCAGTGAGGTGTGGCACTGACCTACAGCAGTGAGGTGTGGCACTGACATACAGCAGTGAGGTGTGGCACTGACCTACAACAGTGAGGTGTGGTACTGACCTACTGCAGTGAGGTGTGGCACTGACCTATAACAGTGAGGTGTGGCACTGACCTACAACAGTGAGGTGTGGTACTGCAGCAGTGAGGTGTGGCACTGACCTACAACAGTGTGGTGTGGCACTGACATACAGCAGTGAGGTGTGGCACTGACCTACAACAGTGACGTGTGGCACTGACCTACAACAGTGAGGTGTGGCACTGACCTACAACAGTGAGGTGTGGTACTGCAACAGTGAGGTGTGGCACTGACCTACAACAGTGAGGTGTGGCACTGACCTACAGCAGTGAGGTGTAGCACTGACCTACAGCAGTGAGGTGTGGCACTGACCTACAGCAGTGAGGTGTGGCACTGACCTACAACAGTGAGGTGTGGTACTGACCTACAGCTGTGAGGTGTGGCACTAACCTACAACAGTGAGGTGTGGCACTGACCTAGAGCAGTGAGGTGTGGCACTGACTTACAGCAGTGGGATATGGCACTGACCTGCACTGCCACCAATGATAATTGCAGTTTTGCCCACCAGTGACGTCTGGGAGTGGCACTGACCTTAAGTGACCCTATTGTAGACCCGTAGAGCCATCACTAGTGCCACCAGTGTAACTATTGCTTCCAACAACATACTGCTTTCTGCTGCTGCCGCTGCTGCTGGAAAACACGCTACTCAACTGGTGGGGAGAAAATTCACTCACTACTCTGATGGTGGGGAGTTAACTCACTCACTACTCTGATGGTGGGGAGATAACTCACTCACTACTCTGATGGTGGGGAGTTAACTCACTCACTACTCTGATGGTGGGGAGTTA